TATATATATATATATATGAAAACTCTTATTTATTAACAAATCAATGCGGCCAGAACGGCCAGTTTCGATTCCGGAACGGCCGTTCTGGCGTCATTTTTCATGCTAAAAATTGATACTCAGAACGGCCCTTTCTCAAATTGGAACGGCCCGTTCCCAAATTGGAACAGGCTGTTCTGATTTCGCATATTGCTCATAAAACTGATTTTTGGAACGGCCCGTTCTGCTTTTGCCTACGCATATTGCTCATAAAACTGATTTTTGGAACGAGCCGTTCTGCTTTTGCCTGGAAACGAAAACAGCCTACCATAATCAATTATGCAAGCACATAATCGATTATGCTGAGCCACATAATCGATTATGGGCTTGCATAATCGATTATGTCCCCAGCATAATCGATTATGTTTCGTTCCTTTGTTGTATGGCACATGCATGGGACAGGGGTATTATGGAATTTTCTCAAATCTTACGTGACTTTCATCTCTTTTCTTCGCAAAAATGTGAAGAAGCCCAATGCCCCTTCTCCCTCTTTTCTTCGCTTTTCTTTCCTCGTAAATCAGTAGAAACAAACGTGAAATTTTCTCACCTTTCATTCTTTGTGAACAGTAAATCAGCGGAAACAAACACTACCTTACTATTTTAATTTCCAAAACTGGTTTGCATATAGATACGTACGTTTATATGAAAACGTTCTTCATTATAAAAACTAGTAGTATTTTATTTTACAGATGCGTCTTTCTAATACATGATATTACTCAACTAATATATTTTACTCTTTTTTTTCTTTCTCTGACTAAAAAACTAAAAGTTTAAATAAATAGCATGTTTGCACATTATATTGATATTTGCATCCTCTTTTTCTCTCTCAAGGAGTCAACGTGCTTTTCCTCCACCCATCTTGATATCCTTGCCTTATATATATACACAAGATACACAATAAATTAAACACAGTATAAGCTAAGCATCATGGACTACCTTTCACTTCTTCTACTAATCACATTAGCATGGGTAAGCATTCATGTCCTAATCTCCATCTTCAAAACAATCAAATCCACCAAATACCCTCCAGGGCCTTTCCCTTTTCCAATCATAGGAAACATCTTGGAGCTTGGAAATCAACCTCACCAAGCACTTGCCAAGCTTTCTCAAATTTATGGTCCTATTATGACTCTTAAGCTTGGTCACACTACCACCATAGTTATTTCCTCTCCACAAGTTACAAAAGAGGTACTACAAAAACATGATCAAACCTTTGCTAACAGGTCAATCGCAGATACTATTCGAGCACTTGACCATCACGTGCTTTCGGTTGCATGGATGCCACCTTCAACACAATGGAGGAGCCTTAGGAGAGTTTGTGCCACCGAAGTCTTCTCTTCTTACCATCTTGATAACACAAAAGTTCTTCGCCAAAGGAAGGTGCAAGATTTGATGGATTATGTCAAGGAAAAATGCAACAAAGGTGAAGCTTTGGATATTGGTGAGGCATCCTTTACAACTGTGCTTAATTCCATATCAAACACTTTGTTCTCAATGGATTTGGCTCACTACTCTTCTTATAAGTCTCATGAGTTCAAGGACATCATTTGGGGTATCATGGAAGAAGCTGGAAGGCCTAATGTTGTGGACTATTTCCCAATCTTTGGCGCCCTTGATCCACAAGGTGCGCGGAGAAGAATGGATGGTTATTTTGGAAAGTTAATTGCGTTTTTTGATGAACTCTTAGAAGAAAGATTGCGTTTAAGGGCATCAAAAAATGAATCCAAGGTATGCAATGATGTGCTAGATTCTGTGCTGGAACTTTTGCTTGAAGACAATTCGCAAATCACCCGCCCTCATGTTTTGCACTTGTTTCTGGTGAGTATATATGCTGGCTACAAATTCAATTCAATTCTTTACACCAAAATTCATCATGGTGCTACTTTTACTTCATCAGAAACTTAATTTTATATGAAGAATGGTGAAATATGCACATATAAATAAAACAACAGATCCCATTTATTATAAAAATAATAGTCTTCTTTTACTGGAACACATACATATTTATTAATACCATCTTTGATTTATTGATTATAATTATATAGACTGTTTTTTTGTCAATGATTTATTAACAGTTTTTTTTTTTTTTTTGCTTGCTCTGGTTATAACGAATATTTAATATTTCATTAAATTAATCAGTTAATACCTTAGTTACGTGTTTTTATATTTATTTATTGATTATAATTATATAGACTATTGTTTTTGTCACTGATTTATTAACGTTTTTATTTTTTTATTTTTTTTTCTTTAGTTATAACGTATATTTAATATTTCATTAAACTAATCAGTTAATACCTTAATTATGTTTCTTTATAACGACTATAATAATTTTTTCTTTTATGAGTTTTGTCTGGGTTATAATGATTATAAATCGATTAATTATTATTTTTATATTAATGATAGTAATTATTAAAATATTTTATCTATTTTTTATTTTGATATATATATTTTAATTATTTATTGTGAAAATATAATAATGATTAGTAATTATTAAAATATTTTTATCTAAGTTTTACCTTTTATTTTAATATATTTGTTTTGATATATTTATTTTTTAATTATTTTCAGTAGCACTTTTGATATATTTGTTTTCATTAGCAGTTAATGTTTTTTATTTACTTACAGTAACAATTTATTTTATAATATTATTGATTATTGGTATATAAAAATATTTAAGAAATAATTATTGGAAGAATTAAATATTTATAACAGATTTATTAGAGGGAAATTTATTGAAGGAAGATTTTGGAGGGAAGATGTTATTCCCTTTTATATATCCTATAGATTATTTGGGTGAAGAATAAACTTTGTTTATTTTGTTTTCTTTAAAGCAAAACTTACTTTTTTAATTATACAGTTTGTCCTTAAATCTTATAGACATATATCTCATCTTATATTATTTTATTATTGACATATTAGGATTTATTTGTGGCTGGAATAGACACAACATCTTCCGCAATAGAATGGGCAATGGCTGAATTGCTTCGTAACCCAGAAAAACTAGAAAAAGTTAGGAAAGAGCTTAAAGGGGTCCTTGCCAAAGGTGAGGAGCTAGAAGAATCACATATCTCAAAGCTTCCTTACCTACAAGCAGTTGTGAAGGAAAGTTTTCGATTACATCCACCTATCCCAATGCTATTGCCACGCAAGTTACAAGTTGATGTTGAACTATGTGGCTTCATGCTGCCTAAAAGTGCACAAATTTTAATTAATGTATGGGCCATGGGAAGGGATTCAAGTATTTGGACAAACCCAAATCAATTTACACCTGAAAGATTCATGGAAAGTGACATTAATTTTAAAGGTCAAGATTTTGAGCTAATACCCTTTGGAGCTGGAAGAAGGATCTGTCCTGGGTTGCCATTGGCTTCTAGAACTATTCATGTTGTGTTGGCCTCTCTTCTTTACAACTATGATTGGAAGCTCAAGGATAAACAAAAGCCAGAAGACATGGATATATCTGAGAGTATTGGGTTAACCTTGCATAAGGCTCAACCTCTCCTAGTCATTCCCATCGAAGCATAGTACCTAGAAAGATTATATATGCGTGATCAAATTCATCATAAGAGATGAGATTCGAATAATATATATAACATCCTAGATATTCAAATCATATTATTATTGGTGTAATTCTTGTTTAAGCAAGGTCAGGGGTTCGAAGCTTGCATTATGTATACAGCCGCGTTAAATCTTGGAGCCAATTATTTCACCTTTGAGGTGCTTCCAACGTAGCGGGCGTCGCTGCTATCGGTAGTGAATACTCCAGGAACGAAAATAAAAATAAAAATTATTCATAAAACTTTCAATAATTTATATGCACATATAATTGAATCATGAGTGAGAATCTTAATAATACACTTATTTTTAAGAATTCTATCAAATAAATCCTTTATTATCTTTGAATTTTTATGAAGTCTCATTTATGTTTATAGTTTTTGTAAGACATGTTTGAAATTTATTCCATTAATAATTAGTTAACACTGCTTATATTTTATTTATGTGTCAACTTTTTTTTTCTTTTTCAAATATGTTCCTTTATATTATTATTATTATTATTATTATTATTATTATTATTATTATTATTAAACTATTGATGATATCAATCAAGCTGATTTCTAAAAGGATCGATTTGAGTTAAAACAGTCCATCTGGACGAATTTATGACAGGTTTAGATATTTTATAGTCGAAGTCAGACTAATTTAACTATGGGTTAATAGGTTTTTAACCCAATTAGACTTTACGAGTCTTGTTGAGCCAATTTAATTTTTGGATAGTAGTTCTTTATCTCATAATATAATTTGTCGTATTATATATACATCTCCTTACATTAATAACATATTTTTGTTATACTTATTTTTAAAAAAATATTTTTAATAATTTTTTATTTTTAATTTCTCGACTTTATGAAGATCTTGGCTTAAGGTTTTTAAGCACTCACTCCTTTCTTGAATACTTACCTCTATGGTATGTTTGGATGATGAATTTATATAGAGTAATTCATTTATTTGAAGAATTTCAAATTTTTTGAGGTGAAATGCTTTGTTTGGATGAGGAATTTATAAAGAATTTGAAATCCAAACATTTGTGAAATTCCTTAAAATAGTAGAATTTTAAATTCTCCCAAAAATAAAAGAATTTGAAATTTTTCATATTTGTTTTTTCTTATTTCACCTATATATTTTATCTTATCTCTTCATTCTTTTAATTATTAGATATTCAAAAATATTTTTAAAATTATTAAATATTATCTTATATTAATTTTTAAAATTATTAAATATTTAAAAATGGATTAATATTTATTTTTATAAAATTTAATTTAAAAATCTCAACATATAAATATATTTTTAAAATCAATTTTACTATATGATGGAATCAAATTATCATATTCAACCTAACAATTTAAAATTTAAAAAATTTAAATTGACTCATCCAAACAAAATATTTTAAGAATGATAGAAATTGAAATCAAAGTAATTCAAATACCAAGAATTTAAAATTCCTTGAATTTGTAAAATTTCTCATCCAAACATACTACTAATGTACACTCACCCTTTTCACATATTCATCTTTTTTCTTTTTTTTTGTCTCCTTTGCTTCCAACATTCAAATTTTTTTTTTTTACAAGCACTCAATCTTTTTATACACACCATCTTCCCCATTATTCAGAATTTCAAAATAGATCAAAATTTTATAATTTTAATTTTTTTAAAAAAGCGAGAAATTAGATTCTCATGTACCTTTTCTTTCACATGTATCCAGTTCCATAACATTAATTTTAGTGTTTTAAAAGAAAATTGAAAAATATTTCTATAATTACGAAAAATAAAAAACATTAAAAATAATTTTGAAAAAAAATATAATAAAAATGTATTATTAATATTAGATTTAGATCCCACGCAGTAGAGTTGGAAGCATCCCGTGAAAGAGTATTAAAATGCAACATCAATGCAACACCCACCAAAAGCTTTGACATATATGGGCCTATGTATCAGAACTTGCCATAATAGAATGGGCAATAATGGCACACCACCGACCCATGAAGTAGAGGTCTTAACTCTACGTCACGTCATTACATGGTTAGTTGAACTTGGTCAGTCATTAAATTTCATTGGAAATAAGTTGTTGATGCTCTGTATATGCTTCACCTGTTATTGTTAACTTTTTTTAGAAAATAAATTAATCGAATCGTTCATACTTTTGTAAAGATATTCCAATCTATTGTTAGTCACTATCATTTTAATTTAACTCCTAATTATATTAATTGTATTACTCATTTTATTATGAATGAAACATAAATTTCATCCTTAAGAAAAAAAAAACTATGAGCCATATAATTTTGGTGTGTTGAGAAATTGAAATGAAAATTATGCAAGTGAATTGACTTTCCCTTACTTCCATTCAGTTTAAGAAAGTGATAGTTTCATTTTCATAACGGGATGCTAGCTCCAATTTACAGGAAGCAGTGAGTCTTAATTTATATATATATACAGGGGACGGTTCAAACTATATCGGTATAATTTTTATTAAGTGTTATCCTACTCAATAATTTTATATTAAATATGAGTTTTATAAATTCAATCGTTAGATTGAAAGTTCATATCAACTTATATGTATATATCAAATTTTATTAAAATTGAACAACAACTTGAAGATAATCAAAGTGTTTATATTTTGAAATAAATATATTACGTCAATTTTATTTTATAAGAATGAAATATTAAATCATCTTGGATTACTATAAAATTTTGTATATATAATTTAAGAATACAAAACTTTCAATCTAACCGTTAAATTTATAAAATTCACATTTAATATAAAATTATTAAGTGATGTAATACTTAATAAAAATTATATAATTTAAATTCTTAAACCTGGTCAAGATTGAAAAGCACAGCCAAGGATTTTTTTATGCCATTTATGAGCGCTTGCACACGCTAAAATACACTTTGTAAAGTCAAACTTTAAGAAAATAATTTGTGAATCATTCTTAGTTCTCAAATTCGAAATGTATACAATAGCCAAACACTTCTACAGAAAAAAAAAAATGCAGTCCCAGTCAAGTCCACTGCTTAATTAACTTTGCTATAGGCATCATGATTCGTTAAAATTTAGAATAAATCTGTTTTGTTTTTAAAATTCATAAAGCAATAAATCCTGTGCCCACTCATCCTCTTATCCAACTTCCCTGCTTTACGAAAAGTCTTCTAGTAGGGACAACATGTCAAATTCTACGGAATTAATTAATTGCAGATAAAGAGAATTAAATATGCAGGAATATGCTCATATTATACTCCAGCCCGACCCAAAAAAAAAAAAACAATATATTTTCGTCATTTTTATTTAGGGATAACAAATATACTTGTACCCACGGATAATATCCGAACTCATCCTAATTTTGACCGGGAATACCCGGTTTAACCGGGTACGGGTACGGGTAAAACACGATATATTAAATCGGGTACGGGTACGGGTACGGGTACGGATATGTACTTAACCGCCCTGTACCCATACTCGTACCCGTCCCCGTTTCCATTTTTAATTTAATACTCACTTTGAATTTAATTATATTAAAGAATTTTAATATTTTTTTATGTATGATTATTTATTATAATATGAAATAAAGAAATAACCTAATTATAATTATAATATAATTAAAAATAATAATTTAAAAATATTATATTTAAAAAAATATATAAAATTTTTTTTAACAGGTACGGGTATACTCGATACCTGACAGGGACAGGGATGAGGATGAAAATCACATACCTGACGAATACAGGTACGGAGACGGGGATGAGTTTAACTCGCGGGGACGGGTATCATGAAACCCGTACCCACCCCACCCCGTTGCCATCTCTACTCTTATTTGACATTTCAAGTTAAAGACAAAAAGCTTTAAACACCAATAATTTTTCTATACAAGGTAGAAAAGAAAGTCCAATTTTTCCTTTTCCTTCCATACATACTTCTCATCTCTAATTATGATTTCTACCATTCAATGAATCTCATGAGATAAACCATAGAAAGAGAATTATTCAAAAAATTCTTTTTATACTAACTTTCAGGACATGTCATTCAATGAATCTGGTGAGGTGAATCATGGAAGGAGAATTATTCAAAAAATTATAGCAACATTACTTTCTTATATATACAAGAAACAAACCACAATAGAAGCAAATTAAGAACCATGCACTACCTTTCATTTTTTCTACTAATCACCTTAGCATGGATAAGTATTCATGTCTTCAAAACACTAAAATCCTCCAAATATCCTTCAGGGACTTTCCCTTTTCCAATCATAGCAAACATCTCGAAGATTGGAAATCAACCTCGCCAAGCTTTCTCAAATTTATGGTCCTATTATGATCAAATTTTTGCTAATAGGACAATTCTGGATACTCTCCGAGCACTTGATCCATCACTCTCTTTCAGTGGTTGGATCAAAAAGAGATCGAAACTCAAACAAAACGGAATATATGAGTCTCTCTCTCCACTTTTGCCTCTATTTTTTCTCTTCATTCTCTCTCTTTCTATTTTTCTTTCTCCCTCTATCTCTATCTCTCTCACTCTCACTCTCACTCTCACTCCCCATCTCTGCCTCTCTCCCTCTATTTCTATCTCTCTCACTCCCACTCCCCATCTCTTCCTCTATCTTTATCTCTATCTCTCTCTCACTTCCTATCTTTCCCTCTCTCTCACTCCTCTCTCTCTCATTCTATTTCTCTTTCTCCCCTTGCTTTGTGTCACTCTTACCCTCACTCCTTCTCCCTTTCTTTCTCCCTCTCTCTGCCTCCCATATCTCTCTCTTTCTTGTATTTGATAATTTTTGACCTTATCAATTTTAATAATATTATTAAAGTCGATTTTTTTATAGTTTAATGTTATTTGTTAATACTAATTTATTTATTTATTTGAATGAAATGAAATAATATATTTTTATCTTTCTCATTTATTATGTAACATTTTTCTTTATTTATTTCTTTTGTTGAATTTGTATTTAAATAATTTTAATTATAATTTTTAAAAATAGTTTAATGTAATATTTGTAATAAGATTCGAGTAACTAAATATATCTAATGAGTTTATTTTAATAAAGAATATTTTTTGTAAATAATAATTATGTACTCAATAATATACTATTGAAATCAAATATGAAAAATTTTAATTCTCGATAATCCTATATGAATATTCCTCAGAACATCTATGAGTAACTAAACAGATTTTAGTTATTTTCAAGAATCATGATTTCTAAGATTTGTAATTCTCGAGAATCATGATTTCTATCACTACAAGAAAAATACAAATTACCAACTGATAATCCTCGACAGATACAAATTTGGTGGACAATTTATATTTTCGACGAAAAAAAT